GCTGATTCGAGATTAAGGGATGTGTCTGCACAGTAGTAGGCTGCAGTGTGTTGGCGCTGCTACAAGTGGAAACTGAAGGGAAACAAACTGTGTGGATTGATGGAACAAAGTGCATTCAAATTTTTACACGAAGCAAGGGACGTCCAGTGCGCGTGGTACTGGGGTGCAATGTGAAGTGGCTAACACTCTAAGGCAGAATCAATGTTTTTGGAGCAATAACGACAAATGAAGTTGCACTGTGACAGTGATTCGCTGTAGCTTGACACTACTCCACAATGGGTCTCAGAAGCATATCTGTCCATCTATGTTTAAATCCAACAGTCCATGCGATCAGTGTCGTGGCAACTACTTTTGCCGCCCGAGAGGGTGGTAAAATTATCACTCTTAGAGGGCGCGTGAAGGCCAAACGATCGGTAAAAAGCACACTAGTTTTTGATGAAAACTACTATAGGCTTGGGAACTTGAGATGAATGTGTTGAAAGTGACTAACTATGGAACAAATAAGTGGATCACTGAGAAGAACGCTTGCACAAGTGTGACACATGGCGCAAATGTGTTGTCGATCATACAGAGTAACATTAAAATATTCAACCCACAGCTTATCCGGATAATTTGTCCTTTATATTTGGTATCCAACATACGACGGTAATAAAAATGCGACCCCGTGACACGTGCCGCCTTGGGCGGATCACCTCCCCGACCCCATACTGCGCCTCAGCAAACGGAACAACTAAATGTATTCAAAGCGGAGTAGTCATCTCTCCGTGTAGATAATGCAAACCCCGTCATTAAGCACGATCACGTGTTGTGAGTCTAGGAACGACCCCGTAGCTCAATCATCGATAGTTGCTCATCAAAACTCAAACCAAGTGCACTGAAAACCAAACCGCTTACACCGGAGCTGCATCACCAGGTTAACAACGATGTAGATGACGTTCCTGATGTAAAGCGCTTGGCTGAATGTGCCAGTAAACCATGCGAAATTTTAGCCGATAGCAATTAAGGACGTAAGGTAACCGCTCGTTTTCCCGCGAACAACACTGGAGCTAAGTTTTGGCGGGTCGCTCGCCTAATGTAATATGCGTCATGTCGAGAGTACCCAGGGCTTCCGTATCCGGGCGTACATTGGGTCGTCAAAGACCCAGGGGGTTGAAAGGCGAAACAGATACTTGGTAGGCGGCTGGACAGTTTCATATCAACCACCTATTACGAGTCGGAGGTGGATGGAGAGTGCGCCTCGTGGTTGGCTGCACGGTGTATTCACAGCTGGCGATGGAGGACGGAGCCTGAGGTGTGTGGATGGGTGACGATAACACGCACGAGATATGATCACAACAGATGTCCGGCTATAACCTTATCATTTCACCACGTAGAATTGGGATGGAGCGAAATAGCAACTTCCACTTGCAAATGGCAAATGCCATATGAACGCGGTTTGCGTCATGCGGAGTCACTCATCCCTGTGCAGACGCTACAACCTAAAGAGTAAATGTGATTCGCCGAGGCAAGTGCATTTTATTTGCGGCTTCAAAGCACCTTCTCACCGCAACCCTGTAGTGTGTTTGAATACAGTCCACCACTGACAAATACCCACCCGGAAATATTTCCCTAGAGAGCGTGAGAAAGGTTAGCTGTGCTTGACCTACATGCTCTGCGTTTCCGCTTCCAGCGTCCAGCCGCCTGCGTTAATGTGACGGGTTAAGCAATTCGGCCAACGGCCATACACACTACTCATGTCCATCAAGTCTGCATAATTCAATTTTCGTAGTTATTATGCCCATATCAAAGTCCTTATCCACTGGCTCTCCAAACCCAATCAACGACAGGCTGTAGAACATAATTGCTTGTTACACAACCGTGTTAGGGTGGCATCTGTTTGCCAAGCTCTCACATGATTGTTCTACAACGCGGCAACTAAAATGGGTGTGCGACGCGACCACACGCGCCAACTTACCGGAAATCCACGATGTTCCCCCGAAGAGAGAACTGCCTATATCTAGCAGGGCATAAAATGCACTCTGATCCGTCATCATAATAATGTAAGAACAACACTCGCGTAGAACAGGTAGTTTACTGCCAACTGAACGTTTTACCGATCGGATAAATGAACAACACGTCCATAATTCTTACTGACATGCTGAACCATTCGTTCGCAGTGCTGCTGCGTCACTCAGGCCCGTGCTTCAGAGACCGCGTGCTCCAAAAAGCAAATCCGCCACTCGCTTTTATTCAGAACGCCTTCAGGATCCCTCAGGAGCATCTCGGAGTACCGTCCCCTCATTGACTGTTTTACATGAGACTTTGTTATGTTCCAGATGTCCTCGATGGGATTGGGAACTGGAGAGTATGGCGCACGGCGTAGAACTCTCCCAGAGAGGTACGGTCCCTAGAGGATAACGTGCTCCAGGTTTGTGTGACAGGGCGCGTAGTCACACGTCAAAAGACACCTATCCACAAACCCTGCTCCGTTGGTATCAAGCATTTGTCGCAGCCACTGAGCGCACCATTGTTTGTTGTAACTTCCTCTCAGAACCGAACACGCTTTCAAGCCGTTGTTTGTCATGGCGCCGACAAGATGAACATTCGGTCCCCGGCTGTTCGCCACGGTACACTGCGCTCGAGTGCGAGAGAAAAATAAGTTGAAGTTGGTATCACCAATCCGCACCTGTTGTCTTCCTTCCATCTCGTAATCCATGAGCTGCAAAACGAATGACCTGCTTCGCTTTTGTTCTCCAGCGTGTTCATGAATGCCGGATAGGTATGCAGTTTCTTCAATGTTAGCAGTCTACCATCCAAGTATCGTGAGACGGTGCCGGTACTTATTAAAATTTCGAACCCCGCCTTCAACCGCAAACCAGGAAGTTCAAGGGTATGGGTAGGCTCTGCAGAAACCCACACCACCAGAGTCGACGTGGTTTTCTCCCAGTGCTCTGCGATGAACTACCCCAAGCTGCCCCACCGGTTCCGTCGATTCCTACGCCCGCATCCAGTTGCGACAGAATTTTCACGTAGACCTTCCGTGTGCAAGCGACCAGCTTTCAATCGTCTCCTTCCTCGTACGTTTTCAGTATGACGTTCTTCACCTCCACCGAGTGCGAACATACAAGCCAATCATTGCGTTTAGGTGAACTGCACCTTCAAAATCACACGGCAAACTTATGTGGCTGTGGCTGATTATACCAACCCAATCGTCGTTCAAATCCCTACTCACGTTCTAATTGGTGAAAATCGCTTCCTTGGACAGAGAAACACAGGTTTACATGGTGCATCGGCCACCGACACTGTGCCCGGCAGGAGCTGAATCGTCCCACCTGCACCCCTATGACTTAGTGCCTCTGAGGTCCCATTGGGTGAAGGCGGTGGGCTATGGTTGGTGGCATCCGGTTCCGGATTTGCCTGTCACTGTGGCCAGCCAGAGGACGTCTGCGACTACAGAGTGACCATGGGTGGCTTGCGCTGCACCAACTACAGTTCCAAACACACAATTCATATCCAGTATAAACCCGAAGGAATAAGACCGGGAGGCAGGTGGGCGGAAGCCAAATTTCATTAGCGGAGCCGGACCACACGCCTTCACAGGCAAACACAAGCACGCTGTATTTGGGGAATCAACCGCACACAAGGCGGTGGCTGGACCGTAGTCCGCTCCACACTGAGTGCATGGAACCACTCTTCGAGCTTAACACGGTCACAAGGACCGTGCACACCCTCCTCTCCAGCAACGACCAACTGTCTCCTGGAGCCAGTAGGGAAGAGATAGTGGGTAATAGACAGGTAGGCACCTTGTCAACATGCACATCAAGCGCAGCCACACTGCGGATATCAAGCAACAGCCAATCACTTGAAAGGACAAAATCAAATCAAATAAATCGAATGATGAATACAGATATGCCGACATAGCTCTTTAATAAATGAGCATACGAAATAAATTGGTTGCCAAATATCCGCTAAAGTTTCAAAACATTAGAAAATACACTTTAGGAAAATGCCACAAACGCGAAAAGGTTATCAAAGTTAACTACAATTAGCTTCAGCGACGTGTGCAATAATGAGACAATATAGCAAACCCACAACCTGAAATAAAGAGACCCATCATGCAAGGGCGCGGTTGGTAAATCGAATGCACCTTACCTGCAAACGCAGCGCCGGTTCTGCCTACGTCCTCTGCAGGACCCGTCGTCGCTTCGATGCTGCATCCGAGTGGCCTCGCTCATGGCTCACTAGGCCAGCTTGAATCAGGCACTCATGACCGCATGTTGCAGTATCATGCGCTCGACGTTGATGGAGTACACATCATTGGAGCTTGCAGCTTTCGCACTTGCCACTTCTTCTATGCATGTATGAGGTCTTTCTCCTGCACATCGGAAACTGCCTTCGTGATTAGATCGTGCCATGCACGCCGATCAACCGCCGGGCTATACACGCACACCTACACATCTACACAATTAAGCGGCGTACGCAAGGCTCAAAGTAACTGAGCAAAAACGCAACCTGTATGCCCCTCAGCGCAACCCCTTTGCCGTTCAGATTAATTCTGTTGCCCAAGGGGACAACTTGGCCGAGAAATGGTATAGTCCCCCGGTCGTGTGCATATCGTTGTCCGTTTCCGAGAACGAATACGTGCGTGAATAAGGACCGTGCTCACGTTGCGCGTAACTCTCATCTAAGCTAACGCGACCAGGTCTGCGCAAATCCATTACAGGTAGCCACGATGTTGGTGATGATGAGGAGAGAATTTGCATGCAAATAATTCTACTCCGTGGAGTTCTGACTGTGCTGCAAAACGGCGAGACAGGGAAAAGAATCATAACCACGGCGAACCGTTGCAGCCGAAGCGAATAATTAATGACTCAAGACGCACCGTTGTCAATGCGCGATCATCATGCATGTTGGTACCATGAAAAAGAAAAAAATTGGTATACAAACAACGGATTCACGCCCCAAAACGTCAATCGGCTAGTAGTGTTGTAAATCGCCTTGGACGGATCAATGGGTCCAAGGTAGTACGGCGCTTGAGGAAAAAGAACACTCACGATAGCGCGGACAACGGTTGTGTGCTCACCTTAAAGAGCAACGCAGAACAGAGAGCTGCCTTGCTCTGCGTTCCGATGATAGTTCAAGCAACGTGGCTGAGTGATCGACCGCATCCGACCGGGAATTGGGGAGCTGGATACTCGAAGAAGTGCTACAAATGGATCGTCGATGAAGACAGTCGGACAGCTGACAGAAGATTGACAGCAGGGAATGGGATAGAAGCACGTCCGGTGGAAGAGCTTCACACAAGAGGGCGAGTAGACAGCAGGTGCGAGTGAACAAGCGGAGGCCCTGTGGATGAAACAAAAGGGATACCATGTTGAGTAGCAAATGTGCTTAAATGGTTGCGGCTATTAGCTATGTAAAGGAAAGGTAAAAGAAGCTAGACTGGTATGTGGGGGGGGGGGGTAAAAAGAATAGGATTAGTCAATGTTCGTTCAATACTGAATTCCTCATGGTAAATGGAATACACTTGGGCTGCATTGTCTCGCTTTTTCTCTGCAAGTGTGTCTGATCTACTCAAAACGGACTCATCCCCATCCCAAATCACTATTAGCTTCGTACACGGCCGATTCTTTTGGAGTGGGAGAGGTGACACATAACCAAATGCCAAACATGGACTGCCGGGACAATAGACCCATTTTCAAAACAGGCTTGCTGAAGAAACTAAAACAGGATGCCGCGTGCTTCATCCCTGCGAAGAGTAAATGAACGTTGCAGAACAGGGTGTAAACATCGTCGCGTTAAGCTAACATCATCTCTGCGGATAGAAATAAATAAGAGGTATATTCCTCGACAGTGCAAGACACAATTCACCTGAATAGTCTGATTTCTATGATTACCGAGTTGAGGTATTCTTATGTGAAACGGACAACTTTCAAAGCCTTCTGCATGTACTGAGACAGTGACGTAACACGCTTTCGACAAAATGTGCGGCACACGATTTGGCGAAGCCCCAGTGACTAGTCAATGAGAAATTAACCGACACTACTTGGTATGATCCACACTTGTAGTATTCCGGGACAAAATCGATGCAGCAAATCTATTTCTCGTAGCAGTAAAACATATCAGATACTGTTATTCATTATTCTGTTAGATTTTTTCGTAGTTTGCCCGAATTGTCTTCACAACGTTTTCTTTTATGACAAAAGATTGGATCATAGTAACGGAGGCTGGTGCATTTCAGCGCTTGGAGTAGCCGATCTGAACAGTCTCCAGAGTGGAGACTGGGTGCTACATGGCTGTTTCACATACACACATATACATATGCCCAATGGAATGTAAGTAGTAGGTGGACTTATCAGGTATTTTGTTCAGATACGTTGCAGTTAGACTAGGCACACGGCCGTGCAGTGAGAGAGTTACGGTACATCTAAAAGGGCAATGGGTGGGTGTTTAAACATCTCCAAAAGAATAAGCGTCCTTTTACTTGGGACCAAGCCTTCTTATACGATGAACACGTCGTGTACATACGCTAGAAGGTAAACACGGGGAGGTCCAGAGTCAGGAAAGGAGCGTCATACAAAGGTATGCAATTAATGAGACACACATCCTTAACGACCGAACATGAGCAGTGAGTTGGGAGTTCGGGGCGCACAGGCACCCAAGAAGCGAACGAGCTAAGCGCCAGACTACACCTTTGAGGTTGAAGACACCATAGAATAAACCATAGTTGTACTCATGTAAGGATTGTGGTCGATCAGTAAGGGCGTTCGATTATCGTGTGCTGGCCAATCCATCGACACGTGTTACGCTTTTTCCCAATTCGCTGAACTCGGGTTCACAAATAGGGCGGTATCGTGACGGCCATTTCATTAGTGTGAACGTATTTTCACTTCGTGCGTAAAAAGCCCCGCTGAGTTTAATTTGACGCGTGTAGCCGGATCGAAATGACCATGCCCATGCGGTTGATTAATTTATCGCGTACAGTTAGAAAGTTTCATGAAAGTTATATTAATCATGAAAGGGCTTTATGCACCCAGGAAAGAGGAATATACAGCTGTAACGAACACACTTTCAGCGAAGTAACATGATAAATGCGCTTTAATGTTCTGATGGACAGCACCTAACCTCAAGCATTCAGTGTGCGTTCGCATTGGTTGTGCACTTCGCTTCTGTGTTTGAGTAAGACCAGGGTTTGTTTTGAGTTCGATATGTACCGCGTTTACCGAACTCGACAGTTTGCGGTGTTGAAGAGATGCGTCAACTACCCGTCAATCTTGACGGCACCAAATCTGCTTGTCCTGTTGGACTCCACCCACTGATACTCAAGTCCCTATCGGCTATCATCTCGCTTACCGTGAAAGACTTGTTCAACAGGTTCCTGGCCAAGTGACTCAGACTGGACCTTAACGTAGTGTGACTGCGTACCTCGTCAACCCATTAAGCTAGACTGCGTGAGGCCCTTTGGCCCCTTAAGAGATACACCGACCAGGTTGGTCAATGGTTAGAGGTCAGATAAACTCAGTCTACTGATCTTTAGGTTGAGGGTATGAAATGGTATAGCATTCATTTCTGTAAACTCGAATCATAACCACATCCGCTGCCTTGCGGATAGGCTTTTGAGATAAACGCTTTGGCTGAGGACCATAATCGTTCTTTTATCGAAGTCTGGGTGTCCTGGAAGTATCTCAGCCCACGTACAACTATGACTACTTCCTCAAACTTCAAGCATATCCTGTATCGGCCGTCTCGCAGCTTAGTAAGGATCGCCTTACCTACTGCATATAGTAGCGCAGAAAAGAGAAAAAATGATGCTGCTGGGGCAACCCTTCTTTTCTTTCCACTTGGTTCTCTTACTCCCCTCACAATCCCCATTACTAGCCTTCCTTCTATAATACCCAGCATAAATTACAGCTACCACGTACTATCTACCGGCCGCCTATCGAAAACAGCAGATGATAAGGCAACACTGTCCCGTTTCCCTGGCGGCAATAAGGTTAGCACTGAAAGAAAAATAGATCAAACAGGCTACACTCGCATGCAAGTTGGACACACTGCGTATTGACATATGTTGTGTTTCCGAAACTAGGCTCAATGACCCTCAGAGGGTTATTGAATTATTTGCACCCGGATTTTTATCTTGCTATTGGTTGCACACATACGGAGACACTGATGCGGCAACCACTGGTCAAGGTGGAGTGGACATCGTTCTCAGTTCCAAGGCTGTCATCGTTGGTTGATTGGATTCCCGTGAGCAGTCGTTTGTGTGCAGTCCATTTGAAAACATCAACTAAGATTGATACATGGAGTAGCACTAGACGCTATCTGTTTGTCATTTCCGCTTATGTTCGCACTGATTGCGGCTCTGATGCTACGAAGGACGCTGTCTATCGCGAACTGAACACGCTACTACGCAGTGTCACCAGTCCAGTTATCATAGTTCTCACAAGTAGTATGAATGCGCAAGTCCTCTGAGCTCTCCAGTGGCTCTGCTAAGTGGCAAATATGGATTTAACTCCGAACCGTACGGATAACGCTGAACGTCTGTTGCAACTGTGCGCGGAATACCGGCTGTTTCTTGTTAGTACCAGTTTTAGACACAGTGGGCACCGAAATGCCAATTGGCGTCCACCTATACTTGATCAGTGATGGACCTAAGTAGATCACATTTCCTTAAGTAATAGGTGATGTGGTTCCATCCTGGATTATCGCTCTTTCTTGAGTACTTGTGCCAACTCTGATCATGTGTTGGTAGGTTGTAGTTTATGCATGAACTTAACCGGGAGGCGCAAAAAGCGTCTCCCTCGAGTGGCAACGGAGAAGTTATCTCAGTCCTCGGTTAAGCAAGCCTGCCGGGATGCATTACGTACCAAACTTTCTTGTCCCAATGACAATGAGCTTCAATGAAATAGGATCTCAGCCGCTATGAACCATGCAAGGATCGCCGCTTGCGGCACTATCAATAGTCACTGGATATCCGAGAGGTTGGTGAACATGTTGGAATCAGAAAAACTCCCGGCCATCTCTGAGCACAATGTAGCCAGGTGGACTATTAAGTGTGAACTAAAGCGAAGCTTGCTGCTGACAAGGAAGCTAGGTAGACCAGTTGGGCTCAAAAAGTGGAGGAAGCAGGAGCAGTAGGCAATTATCGCAAGCTCTCCCAGCTGATTCACACCACTGGTCCCAGAAAAGCAGGTGTCCGTGACACACAAAGACAGCGCGGGTGCCCTGATTCACAAGAAGAAACACAGTATGGCTCGTTGGACGGAGCACTTTTGAGATTAGTTCAGTTTGTCCATTGCTTCGAGACTTCTTCCTACTGAGTTGCTGCGATCTGAGCCATGGAGGGTTAGTTTAGAGGCTCGGTCGGAGACTGAGATCCGAAACGCCCTCAATCGTCTTCGTGCTGCTGGCCAGGATTCCAACGCAAGCACACTATTTAAGGATGGTGGTGAGGTGCACTGCAAAGCACTGAGTTCCCTATTCGAACAGGTGTGGAAGGAAGTGGCCATCCCAGCTAACTGGAGTGAATCGATTATAGTGGCGAGATACAAGAAGGGTGGCAGTACTCACTGTGTTAATCACAGGGGCATTAGCGTAACGCCTGTGGTGACAACATTACTGGTCTCAATTCTCGTTCGTCGCCTCTGAGGAAAGAGGATCATGGAAGAGCAAGCAGGCTTCCGCTCAGAAGAGGCTGTACAGACCATATAATCCCTCTGCACCACACGTACCGCAGGCCGACAATGGCTGTGTTCCTGGACTTCAAGAGTACCTACGACTCAGCCGACCAATGCATTCAGTTAATAATACTTGCGCGGAAAGGTGTTCCCATGAAGCAGGAGGACATTTTGGGTGCTCTATATTCAAAAACGAAAGGTCGCGTCAGGGTCTTGGGTGACTGATCGGAGATCTTTCCAACAACAAGTGGCGTTCGTCAGGGTTGCCCAATTCTCCAATTTCGCTGAAGTTAATCGTGGACCCCATCATGAAGCGTTCCCTCACAGAACCTCAAGATGCAGGGGTTGTGGTGCTGCCCAGTGAAAAGCTAGTTGATCTTCCCTATGCGGACGATATTGTCCTGCTTTTTAACGGTGTTGTGGTGGCATAATCAACCCCGAATAACCTCTCTAGAGTGGTCCCATCATTTGACATACGCTTCGTACGTTCCAAGTGTTGTTACAAATCCACTAGCCACTCGATGGCCGATTGACCAGTGATAGCGACGAACACGAAGGAATTGATCAATTCACTTTGTAACTGCATCAGCAACGTCGGGTTCATAACCACTGAGGTCAGCTCACGCATTGCAAAAGCTAGAACTGTCTTCTTAAATCTGTGATCACTTT